CGCTTCGTTTTTTAGACTTGATTACACCATGTTTTACTCAGACTTTTCTTTGAGAACAGGATGCAATCAGTTTTTTAGTTTTTTCCCCCTAGAACTAACCTCATCGAGAAATGCATCTGAATGTAGTACTTGCGTTTGTTCAAGGATATTCATGTGTCTCGTGTCTATGATGGTATTATCTTTTGAGACTATTTTTCGCACTCAGTCTTACCCTGCTGTTGCTAGCCTCAATCTCGTATGCCTGCACAGGTTTGAAATTCCAACTGGCGGATGCGTCAGTTTCACACAGAGTCATAAATGTTGATTATGCAACAAGCCTACACCTTGTACTAAGAAATAAAACACATGTACATTGGGCCAAAATTTAAGGTATGTATCACGATCCTGTTGAATCACAAAGATGAATTAATGGAATCAGGAAGCAAAAAACGAAAATTTACTTCGTTTCGGAATTGATGGGTGGAGCTAGGGAGCAGCCAACCGCCATCTGATAGTGAGTATCGACAGTATATTGGATTTGCAAGTGCTGAATGTATGTTTCAATCGATAGTTATACGTGAATTACCTCATGCAAGTCGCCAAGCTCATCGATATACACATCCTGAATGTGACACATCTGTTCAAATTTATTAAGAAAATATTAGCGTTTATTTTGTGTTGTGTGTAATTTTATGCTCATTTAATCTAATTTTGAAACTTTATTTTGGTGCACCAAATAAATGGCATCCTAAACTATCTATCTATGTACAAGTCAGAGCTCAGTAAATAGTTCTGTGCCACAAAAAATATATGCTAAAAATCTGCAAAGAAGAACAAAAAAATAGGTAAAATTCCGTAACGGTCACTTTTTTGAGTTCGTTGCCAGGCAAATGGTTCAAGGAATAGTCTATAATGATTCTAATAGCCTGACCTCTGGGCTTTAATTTGGTAAGTAAACGATCATTTCAAAATAATTGGAGACTGAGTAATTTACTTTTTACTGGAATACCCCAACTATAACTTGACTATAACTTTTGATCCGTTGATCAATCAAGTTCAAAGTGTTTCTGGTAGTAGAATCCGCTAATATGTACCACTGATATAACTTTCATCAATAAGTGTTGCTCCTTGCTGAGATAAGGGATGCAGAAGACGAAAACATGAAATTCTGTAACATTTGGCCATGTCTCAGTTAACACTAGAACGCCTGTAGCGGTCGGTCATTTTGACCGTTTTTTGATTTTTATTCCTAATAAAACAAACTGCATATAATTTATTTAAAAATAAATTATATCGTAACTTTTAATTTGTCCCACAAAAATTATTTTTTGCAGAATTTTTAATTCAGAACCATTTTTAATTATAAAATTTTTAAAAAAACAGTAACGGTCAAAATGACCGCTTTGGGCGTTCTAGGTCATGAAAATTTCTGGGCATTCTAGTGTTAATTAGTGACTTGTATCGCAGAAAAAGAAAAGAATGATGTTTGAAGACATGTCGTTTTTACTCTCAAAATCACAATTCTGGGAAACTCTCGTATGTTGAGATAAATTCTACTTTCAAATAATAGAAGTTACTTTATGTCTGAATTTTGAGTTATTAGTCACTTTTAGAAGGATGAAAATATCCATTGGCTCAACCTCCTGCGGCATCACTCGCTTTTCAGAGATGTTTTTTACTTAGAACTAGACTCTATGACCTGGCCATTTCTCACGATATTTTCAAATACACTGCTTCTATCTGTTATAGAGTCATTGTGATTAAACGAGAAAAAGCATTCTTGTTTTCTCTTCTTCTGAGAAATTAATGCCATTCTCTCTCCCATCCCCTTTATTTATCAAACTACACCAGTGATATTTGTCAAGCACAGATTTGTAATGAAGAGGCAGAAATGAAAGAAAAATCTCTCTCTGTCAATCTTTTGAAAAATATGTAAAGTTTTTTTGTTCTTATTCTTTATAAAAAAATGAATAATTGCGCAGTATATCTGATGAAGATAAAATGTCATACACTAAGGCGGATCTAAATGTTTACCGAAATAGAGGTGAACGTGAATATTAAAATAAGTGACAGAGAAGAAAAAGAAATATATAGATTTTAATTCTCACTCAAACACTACCATTCTAAAACATGAAGGTGGATCGATCAAGATTAATTTTGATTATTGTCTTTGCACCTTGTGCACTGGCACTGGTATTCGGTGACTAAAGCCAAGTTTCCGCTTGACAAATCAAACGTAGCCAAATGATACTAAAAGTAACACAAGATTTTTGATCTTGTGTGGCGAGTATTCTTAAATGTTGAAGGTTTTGAACCGAATTTATTACCCTTTTTTTCTCTTGTGATTTTTTATTTGTGGTAAAGATTGTAGCTGAAAAGTTGTTGTAGTTCGAGAGCAAATTGAACTCTAATGCAACAGCGTAATATGAAATTGTTAGTAGGGTAAGTTGATCAGAACACAATCAAAATTCAACTTTCTGTGTACCACTCAATTCATCTGTTGAAATCCTATCTGCCTGTGCAACTTTTGTTTTTGCAGAATTCGAGCCTTCATGGCTGAGACCACAGAAACACATGATAGCACGCTAAATAAGATGTTGGTCGAATTCCGCTTGGTTAGAGAGGTGACAAATAAGCATATTAGAATTTTCGCTGTTTAGCACAGGGACTCACGACCTTCCCTTGGCAGTGTGAATGAGATGAATATGTTGCTTAAAATGAGAAAATGGACTGATCACATACTTAGCTGAAGAAACGCATCCATAATTTTTTCCTGCAGATACACTGGATACAATAAAATAGAAGTGAACGGTTAGTCTTTTGGTGAGAAAAACTAGACACGTTTACAGGACAGACAGTAGAATTTTCACTGTTCTACTCATATTTAGCAAGTTTTGACCTCAATTTAACGTTGAAAAATTGTAAATTTAGTTTTTTATAATCAGTTTTACATGAACGTTTACAAAAAAGACAATAGTTTTAAAGTTTTTAAAAATGTAATAAAGTGGAGAAACGGACTTATTTTTGAAAATGTCACGTATTTCTGCCTAACTTCAAAGAATAAATATTACTAAATTTTTCGAAATGGCTATAGACACCATCAGGCAAAATAGATTTGCATCACTACCTGTGTTCAAAACAGTTTCGCTCTCACTGTTGTCATTCAGAATCAAACAAAACATAGTGGAGTCGTCACCGAAAACAATCTTTGTTTATTTTTACACGATCGCACGCTTTCTTCGACTTCCAACTAACATCAACTTTCCACCATTTATTTCTTTGCTTTTCAGATGATGTCACCTTGAATCCTACATTCATTTCATTAAAAGCCAATTTACTTCAGAACTTGGCATTCTACAACGGTGCGAGTGAAACCGTTATGAACACTGGTAGTGATGCAGACCTATTTTTGTCTAGTGTTGTCAATAGCTTCTTGCTGACACCATCCATGATGGCAATATCCTAAATTTTTCCACCGAAAAATGACGTTTAAAAACCTGGAATTGATATCTTCTTATGTAACTCGATGAACTCTATCCAGTCGTGTCAAAAAACAACGAAAAAGAAGTTCAACTTGAACTTTGATTTGCCAGAAGCCTATAATTAGATAAAATTTTATTTGATTGACTAACAATGTCATTTTGATTGGCAAAAATAAATAAAACGTTTTATACGATAAATGTTAAAAATAAGTATAACTGTATAGTACTGAAGAGAAATAAATATTTCTTTTTTCTTTTCAAAAACTGTACAAATACATTGTATACACTAATTAAACTGTGCTACATAAATATGGCTATAAATTTAACACACTTTGAAAGCAGAAAACATAAAGCAAAAAAATTCCTTAGAGAAGTGTTTTTAAAAAGTGTATGATGAAAATGATGTTATCTATATTCCAGTGAGAATTATACGATTTGACTAGTAGAAGATTTTTTCTTACTGTATCAAAAGCACTAACTTAGTCATTAATATATTATGATAGCAGAGCAAGAAAGTTTTACAAAATGATATTTTTGGTTTCTCATATCGTTTTAACACTTTTGATAAAAGTTTTTTCTAAAAATGTGAACTGTATATCCGAATGATGAAATGACTCATTTTTCTAAACTACAGAAGGTGTGATATATTCTCTCACATATTATCGCAGAGCAAGTCAAAAGCTATAGTGTGATATATTTTTTATTTAAATAATTAGTCTTTTTTCGAGATAGAAAACTTAGACTCAAAGATCAATTGTATTTTTTATAAGATCATACTACTGGTATCCCTAACGCAGTAAGGAATAAATCTGTTGAACAAATAAATATATCGTTGTTTAGCCTTTGACGATTGCTACAACTATCATATTAGAAGTGTAAATTGAAAATGTTTTGAAAGAAAAATATTTAGGAAACAGAAGCAAAAATTGTCAACGGCAAAAATATGTACTTCAAAAATTAATCATAGCTGTTATGCTATTGAGATTCGCGCTCACTATTGAAAAAAATTCAGCTCTTCGAGCTTCTACAATATGATGAGCAAGATTAAATTTTTTGAAATTATTAACTATATACTGGGATGGATAGTAGAGCCTGAAAAATGTTGTCGTTATAACTAAGAGAAAAAAGACTTAGTGGACTATTTCTGGCAGCATTTTTGGTAGTTTCGAGGATAACTGCTCACGTGATGGAGATATTGTCAACTTTTCACTTTCAGTTAATCTTTTGGACAGAGACTCACTCACAAAAAACTTCGCACATTTAAAGTTAGTTTCTGAAGAGAATTTGTTTTTCAGTATACTAAACATAAAACTCTCTGAAGGAAAGATTAGATTGTGACGGGTTATCTAGGGGAGGGGATAAAAAAACGATTTCCTTTTTCTTGTCCACAAGAATAGGTTTTATAGATCATAATAAGGAGGTTACCGTTGATAAAAGTTTTTAATCGTTGATCATCACGAATCTAAGTACTCTCTGTTATTAAGTATTGTATATAGTTTTTCGACAATATGAAATATACGAATATGTCTAAAAATGAAGTTAAAATCTATCATTAAGAATAAGTCCATCGACCGCTGAAGCTGCTACAGGTGCAGCAACAATTAATAATGCCAGAGTTGTCAGCATGAGGCCAAGACTATAATCAGCTGATGTTTTATATGAAGCAGTACCCTGACGAGAAGTTGAAGTTGGTAGATCATTAATTGCACTGAATGTTAAAAATTGAACAATACTGGCGATTATAAGTATTGACGCGACAATGAGAAGGACAACTGATATTGCGCAGAGAAATCGAGGTGACTTTTTGATGACAATTACCGATAACGTTAACATCGTGGACAAACCTACTGCGGCTAGGGCAGTAATAGAGAGAACAACTGGTATGATCGATGTGCGTGAGCTACAACCAAGGTCTTTTGTACACGTTTTGAATAAACCATAATTCGCCGTTAAATCAGTATTACTGCCTTGTACTATTAATTTTGATTTTATCCATGACGGTGTGGCAACAGCGACAATGCCGAATACCAATGCCAGTGCACAAAGTGCAAAGACAATAATCAAAATTAACCTTGATCGATCCACTTTTATATTTTAGAATGGTAGTGTTTGAATGAGAATTAAAATCTATATATTTCTTTTTCTTCTCTGTCACTTACTTTAATAATTACGTCCACCTCTACTTCGGTAAACATTTAGATCCGCCTTAGTGTATGACATTTTATCTTCATCAGATATACTGCGCAATTATTCATTTTTTTATAAAGAATAAGAACAAAAAAACTTTACATATTTTTCAAA